GGAAAAGGACCAAACACTGCCTACTGCAGACAAATAGAGCCTTTACAGACAACTGGCCTGAAGGATAGAGCAGCCAAAACACAATAGCAGGGTACATGCAGCATACACCAAAGACACTCTCTAAAACTGCACCACTTCTTTACACCATATACAAAAATAAAGTGAAAAACGGATTGAAGAATTCAATGTGAGACCTGAAACCATAAAAATCCTAGAAGAGAACACAGGCAGTAACTTCTCTGATATTGGCTTTAGCAACTTCTTTCTAGAAGAATCTCCTGAGACAAGGGAAACAAAAGCAAAAATAAACTATTGGGACTACATCAAAAGAAAAAGCTTCTGCAGAGTGAATGAAACAGCCAACAAACTAAAAGGCAACCTCTGGAATGGGACAAAATATTTGCAAATGACATACCTGGTAAAGGATTAGTATCCAAAATATATAAAGAACTTAATTCACCATACAAATAATAAATAACATTAAAAATGGGCAGAATACATGAATAGACATTTTTCTAAAGAAGACATCTAGCTGGCCAAAAGACACATGAAAAGATGCTCCACATCGGTCATTATCAAGGAAATGCAAATCAGAACTACAATGATATATCAACTTGCTCTTGTCAGAATGGCTAAAATCAGCAATACAAGAAACAGCAGGCATTGGTGAGGATGTGGAGAAAGGGAACCTTCTTGCACCACTGGTAGAAAATTAAAATGGTACAGCCACTCTGGAAAACAGTATGGACGTTCCTCAAAAAGTTAAAAATAGAAGTACCCAATGATACAGCACTACTAGTTATGTGCACAAAGATTAGAAAAATACTTATTAAAAGGGATACATGCTTCTCAGTGCTTATCTGCAATAGTCAAATAATAAAAACAACCCACATGTCCATTGACTGATCAATGGATTAAGATGATGTGATATATAGGTACAGATAAAGATATAGATATAGATAAAATGAAATATTTCTCAGTCATAAAACAGGATGTAATCTTGCCATTTGCAATGACATAAATGAGGAGAGAGTTATGTTAAGTGAAATAAGATGCTCAAAGAAGATAAATATCATATGAATTCACTCACATGTTAAACTTAAGAAAAAAAATAAGAAAAGGGGGAAAAAAAGAGACAGAGAAAGGCAAACCAAGAAATAGACACTTAACTATAGAGAACAAACTAATGGTTACCAGAAGGGAGGTGATGGGTTAAATAGGAGATGGGAATTAAGGAGTGTACTTTTTGTGATGAGTACTGGGTATTACTTGGAGTTGTTGAATCACTCTACTGTACATTTGAAACTAATATTACATCGTATGTTCCATAATTGGAATTTAAATAAAAATTTTAAGAAGAGAATTTACGGATTCATAACAGAATGTCAGGAACACCAAAAATGCACTATGCATGTGTTTATTTCAAAATTCATTTTCAGAACCCACTCTGTGCATAGCCATTTTTTACTAGTATGTCAGTAGAAAGACCGGTGCTGTGTAGGAAGTAACCATCACACAAAGAGTTATTCTCTCCACTAATCAGAAAATTCCAGATCACTGTCCTTCACTTTTCCCAAAACAATCATACAAAGGAAGGATTCTTCAGAGGTCATTGCTCTCACTGTCAAATAATAGTCATTACATTAGTGGTTTATTCAAGAGTGTATTATGGAAATGTCTGTGATACCCTTGAGGGCAGTGGGTCAGAATGCTTAAAGGAAGCCCTAAGTCATCTTTCCAGGCACCAGTGCCATAGCAGCACTGAGAATAATTCAGGAGCTGGCTGTCTTACTTTTCCCATTTTCATTCCCAACATCCTGAGGTAAAGAGGCTTGCCCAGAGTCCTCAAAGTCCTTAGAAATCTGTTTTTTAAGAAGAACTTTTGCATCATCCGCTACAGTCTCAAGGACAATATTTTGAAGGTAGAAAATCTTGTTAAAGTAAATACCAGAGGCAATGGGTCCTCCACTAACAGAGCAGAATTTTTCCACATATCTCCGCAGTTTTTCTCCTAGGGATTCCTCATCCTTCTCAACTGATAGCAAATGGGGAAACTTAAGGTTTTCCTTGAGTTTCTCCACCGATACATCCAAGTCCTTGGCCATGATTTTCAGGGATGAGTCATCCAGCCCAAAGAAAACCCTGTAGAGGGTTAAAGAGTCCTTTAAAGTCTCCATATCGTTACCACTGATGTAACCCATCATAGGGACAAAGGCCGATGCTCCAGCCTTCATGGCCTCCAGCCAGACCTTCTGTCTCAGGGAATCCTTCTTTCGGTCAATGGTGGCCTCAGTAATATTCGGCAGGTGTTGCATAAAGATGTGGCGCTTATGCTCTGGGAGGTCCCTCAGAAGGGTACTCTCCAGCCTTGGGAAATCATAGTCAGCCAAGTCAAAGCTGGAGATTAAGAAGACCTGAGGATCACTCACATTGGCCTTTTTAAGGTTATTCACACAGTCATTGCGGATCTGTTCCAGGGTTTCTTGTTCGTTAAATTTGTTGGGTTGACACCTTTTTACGTTACTTAAATCACTGTCTATTTTAGTTCGAACAAAGTAGAAATTCTTCTTCATTTTTTCAATTGCTGAAGACAGTTGTGCATCATTGCTTTTGAAGCGGGTAGCAGAGATGATGATAAAGAAGTCATACTCCTTAAATCTCATTTTCTCCAGATACTCATGAGGTGGAAATGTAGTGGTCCCTATGCCAGGCAGGTCCCATAATGTCACATTGGGAAGCTTTGGGTGTTCATATTTCGTTCTCTCCATGGTTGTCTCTACCGGCCCAGTAGCGGCAGCCCCTTCCTCCTCATCCCGCAAACCCCGTATGGCATTGATGAAGCTGGACTTCCCTGTCCCAGACTCCCCAGTCACAGCAATGCTCAGTGGGGCTTTATTGATATCTCTCAATGCATTATTGATGACAGAAACTGCACTCTGAAGGTCCCCCGCTTTCAGGCTTGATTGAATTGACTTGATGGCTTCCTGAGAGATGATTTTGCTTTCCATCTTGAAGTCCTTAAAAAACTTCTCAAAGCTGGAGGCCAAATCACCACCATGAGAGGGTTGGGAAGAGGGGGACTGACCCATGGCTGGAGCAGGAGAAGGCACTATGGGGAGAAGAGAAGAGGGAAGGAAAAATGGTTAGTATAACAGGGGGTGGCTTGGGCTGTGCTCTTAGGGACAGTATAACATCAGTCCTGGCCACAACATTATATCCAGTAGTCCTTCTCTTTCTATCCAGACATTGTGTAGACTTCTGACATGGATGCAAAATTGCCCTTGCTCGGTCTCTTCCCTTATCTTGGAAAGTCCTTCTTCTTTAAGATACTCTTCATTCTTACAGACTAATTACAAAGCCTGATTCTTTTATCCAAACTTTCCTGTCCACATTATTCTTTGTTTATCTTGCTTTAGTTTTTTCTATTTGTAATGTTATGAAAATAATACTTCTTCATGGTCGCAAATCTAAGAAGATAGCACCAGCACATACCCTCATACCCCTTCCCACCTGTTCTGTGGGACCCTCCAGAAAATCCACTTCTGATAACCTTAAATATCACAAGACCTTGGTTCTCACATGAGGTAGCTAAATAAGGATGAGTGGCTCCTTCCCTTCTCAGAAAAGATACCGTATATTTTTCATTAGGAGACAGAAATTTTTAATGATTGGAAATGTGTTAAAGGATTCCTTTTTGTTTTTCTGGGAGTAGATACAGCAAGGGGCATGGATCCCTATGCTCTAAAAAGTCATGCTGGACTATCCACCTGGGACTTGCTATGAAGCACCCCAACTGTCCTGAGACCCCACCCATCCCCTGTTTCATGCTTGGGTGTAAAAGGGGACAGAAACCCTATGGGAGAGATAAGTCACCTGGAGGACTGACTGGTCTATAAAGTGGCATTGATGGGAAAGGTGGCATGAGCAAAAACTGAAGCAGGAGTTGAGTGGAATGTTGTAAGACGTCAGCCATGATGAGGAGGTCCCTCTGTCAACTTGCCTGCTGGCAATCACACTGAGCTGGCTCTGTAGTCCTGGGCCTATCTGATCATGAAGGATTAGAATACCTTGAGCTGTGGGAACCAAGGAAATCATATACACAGGACTAAATGGAATGTGAAATATCTGTACACTCTCTCCTATGAAGACTGGCAACTGTAGGAATTCATATTGTCTGGCTAGAGAAGACAATAAACACATGCCTCCCT